AGTACTTCATTAGGATGTGATGCAAGCTGACTAGTTTGTTAACAAGAAAAGCGTATCCAAATTCATCAATATATAAACGGAAAACGATAATTTACTCCCTTGAAGTATTACTTGAACGGTTGAACCTACCTATTAGTTGCTGCTACAACTACTACATGTACTCCAGATGCTGAAAACGACTTATTGGAGTCCATCAACATAAATAGTTGAGAAGCTATACGAACATCTTGTTCCCTTCTGCAAAGCAGACTCAACAAGAGAGTTGAAAACTTATATCAGAAATTTATAACAAACAAATACATAGAGAGAACTCTCAGTAATAAAGCTTTCAAATAAAGTAAAGAACAATGTAGGAGAAAAATGAAGTACTAATTTAATTGATCACCTAGAATCACGACGAGGGCAAAGCACATCAATTTCATCTATGAAGATAACTGATGGTTTCCCAAGCTTTGCTTGAGATGATGCTTTTGCAAATGTTTCCCGCAAAACTTTCTCGCTTTCTCCAGCATATGCACTGTGAACACTGTGTGGGCTTCAAAACAAAGAAACATCAAAACAACCATATGATTCTCCCAAACAAAAAGTTGGGTGTTGAGATTCTTCACAGCATAATTATATGACAATCTCAACAGTAACATCATGATGAAATGATGCAGTAAAAAGCTAAAAACATTTGAATGTTTTCAGAGTAACCAAATGCTCCTACAGTTACATACTTGGCATCATTATACAGAAATCAGTGCAAATCAAATCCACTTCATTTAATAATATGGATTGTATGGCGGAAACTTTACTGCATAGTAAAGAACTAAATCCCAGACGTGACTCGAGAAAACATCAGAAACTAAAGTACTCCGTACCTAATAACAGTCAAATGCGCTCCGCATTCTTGAACAACAGCTCGAACCAAACTTGTCTGGAATTCATAATATATTACCGAAACATTAATTTCAAAATAGATCTTTTTTTTGGCAGTTCAAATGGCATCAAGTTAAATTCTAAGGAGTAGATGATAGTAGACAAGCAAGTGAAAAATGGCATACCTTACCAGTACCGGGTGGACCATATAGCAACAAACCACGAGGCCACTATATGAAGAGTAGAAGAAAACCACGAATTAATATAAGTCTCTCCGCATTACAGCCTGGGGGAAAAATATATATAGAGATATAATTGCATCTAAATTACTTTGAGTCCAAGTTTTTTAGACTCTTGAGAATAGAGGAGCGGATACATGATGAGTTCCCTCAGGGTACGGATGGCCTCTGCATTCCCAGCAACGGCTTCCTCCGCCGTCCACGCTCTGCCGCCTGGCTCAATTCCGCCGCCGCTTACCATTAGAATATTTTATTGGGTGTTTCTGGACCGTTTTCTTCAGATTAGGTTGCGAAGTTGTCAACTTCTATGGCTACAAGGATTGGCAATTGAAGATTTTCACTAGAAATTGCAATTTCTGAGTGAAGCAACGACTTCAAGCTGCTAAAATCGATCATCTACGACTTAAAGCGGACTGAAGAACATTCGACAATCTCGCCGTTGCCGGTTCCCCTGGGCGTAGTGCTCTCTCTGTCTTCCCCGGAGAGTTTCTGCAGGTTGGCTGGTTCAACTTGAGTGGACTATTTGGGCAGGATACATTTTCTCCATACCTACAATGCATAAAAATCTGGTTCGGCCCATTTTGATTTTTTTTTTAAAAACTGCACATCAAACATTGTCAATATAATGAAATCAGCGTTAGCATTTTAACAAGGATATCTGACGCCAGCTTAACTCTAATCAGAAACACTTATATTAATAAAAAACGTTAACATTAATCGAAAACGTTGTTTCCAAGCTAGATCAATATGGAGTACTTTGTGGTTTAGCCGCATAAAAACGATAACACTAATAAAAAACCTAGTATCACATTTTGACAAAGAAAATAAATGGATAAATTTACCCTTATAAATGTAAAAAAAGGAAAATTAAGGATAAAATTTTCCATCAATATCAATACTTTATTTAAAAGCAGAAGAAATATTAACCTCATTTTCCCGCTCATTTACTTTGGCTTAAATATGGTACGTGTGCATTTTATTGTAATATATAAATTTATTATATTTATATGTGTATAATGAAAATGAATAAATAATATATAAAAAATATATAAATGCTACGAAGTAATATTTTGTGGACCATCTATAATGGTAATATATAAATGGTAACTTATATTATAATATTCCGTATTATGCGTAAAAGAAAAAAAGGACATCTGATTTTGAGATTATAAAATAAATGTTGTTATTTTTTTCAACTTTAGCATTGCATGTTCCAAGGTGGTAACGATAAAATTTTTATGTTCAAAGAGAAATAGATTTACGAAATATTAAAGTTAAAGTTCAACACAATTTCTAACATTAATATATAAACAAAAATGGCCAATTGGTCCCATTGAATATAAAGTCGTGTAAATAATCATAATATGATATACTTTTATATTTTGTTTCCTTTTTGGTCCCATGGGTGGTCCATAGGGTGTGCAAAATGGCCAATTGCACAGGGCTCCTTAAAATTTAGGACACCATTGTTGGAATTTTTGGCATTTTTAATAGGTATTAAATGGACCAACTCGGGTATATTTGTCAATAATGTCCTCACCGTCCAGTGCTTAATGTCTTCGCTGTCAAGTACTTAATGTCCTCGTAGAACAAGGCTCATTGAAGATATAGAAATATATTTTCCAACTTTGTTTATTTTGTAATATTCTGAATAAATTATAAATTCAGAATTTTATTTAATTTTATTTTCGAGGCCGTTCATCTTCCCCGTCCGTTGTAATCCGTACGAAAATTGTAACAATCTTAAGGTAGTAGTGATATCCGTGCACAATGGCGGGTATGGACGGATTCGGTACCGGAAACGGGAGTAGTTCCGAGACTCTGGTTGTGAACGTTTCGGCTGGATTGGGTGGCTCTGTAGGGCAGACCACTCCAATCAACATTCCTTTCGGATCGAGTGCGGTCATGGGGTCCACTCCGATCACCACCTTTGTTGGAACGAGCGCGACTAGGGGGTCCGCTCCAGTCACCTCGGTTATTGGACCAACTGCGGCTACGGCCGCAATGGTCACCCCACTCGGACCGAATATGGCTTCGGCCATACCGGTCATTCCCTCACTTGGACCGAACACGGGTGTCTTCACATCCGCACCGGTCGAACATCCTACTATCATGCTGTCTACGAACTCTGTCAAAGAACCGGCAAAGTTCACAGGTGTTGGCTTTAAAATATGGCAGCAAAGGATGTTATTTTGGCTGACCACCCTCAACCTTGCGAGGTATTTGAGGGAGGATCCCCCTGTTGTGGGGGAGAACGCGGACGAGCCAACAGTTCAGACTAAAGAGGCATGGATAGCGAATAACTATACGTGCCTTAACCTTATCCTGAATTGCTTGAGCGATGCCTTATATGCTGTTTATAGCAGGGCTGCATCCGCAAAGGAGTTATGGACTACACTGTCCAACAAATACGAGGCCGAGGACGCCGGTGCGAAGAAATTCATTGTCGGTAAGGTTTTGGATTTTAAGATGGTGGATTCCAAACCCGTGGTCAGTCAAGCTGAAGAATTGATCCTCATTTTTAATGAGTGCACTTACGAGGGAATGGGAGTCAGTGAGGCATTCCAAGTGGCGGCGATTATTCATGTGCTCCCGCTGACTTGGGATGAGTTGACCAGGGATGTTGCGTCTAGGACCGGTCCTGAGAATTCATGGGCTTGGGCCAAAACTAGAAAAAAAATCCTAAAAATCTTATCCTAATGGTCTAACAAATTAACACATGTAAACAAATTATATTTAAAACATAATTAACACAATATTGTTAGAATAAAAAATAGATTAATATATCCTAAATTCATATCAATTCGTCAACTTTTCTAATTTTCTTTTTCAGCTTTAATTTTTTTATATATCATGAATTCATATCAATTTGTCAATTTTTCAGTTTTTTATTTTTTTTAGTTTTCAATTTTTTATATATAAATCATAAATATATCATAAATTCAAATCAATTCATCAAAATCAAATAAAGAACACATAGAACCATTAAATCATTCTATTTCCTAGCAATTAGAAAAGCTTTCAAATTAAAAATTAATAATTAACCCTAGATTTTAAATCTAAAGAATGAAAAAATGCAAAATTGGAAAGCTATATAAACGGAATACCTGGAGGCTGGTGGCTCGGAGTCCGGCGGCGGCGGCTGCATCTCTCTACCGGCAGCTTTCCCATTTGGCGATTTTGTTCAGTCGACCTCGCCTGGGTTTCTCGCGACATGCGTGGTTATTTCTTCTTTATGTAGGATGGGGACTAAAGAGACGGGACTTGACATATTCGGCCTCTAAAGTTCATGGGCCTAGTCGGGACGGACTGTATTGGGTCGGCCCAGGTTGCGTCGGCAGGTAGACACCGTTGCGCAACTCTCTCTGGCTTCTTGAATCTTGACCCAAGTGGCCCTGCTCTTTGATCGGAAAGAAATAAGATATGCGTGACAAACAAAGAAGAAAAAAGCTAAATTAGTTTCTTTTTACTTTTACTACCGGGGATTTCAATAAAATTAAAAATTAAACTTCTTATAAATCAAAATTTGTAGCCCAAATTGTATACCACAAGTGTCCACCTTTGTTTTGTGTCAATGTGATAGTTCACATTGGTATAAAATGTTAATACAAATTTTTCTTATTGCACTATCATTTTGTACCTCTATGAACTATCAAAATCTTGTTGTATAATTTGGGGTATATTCCTTCCATGTTTGTAAATTAAGGGAAAACACTATGGGTAGAAAGTAAAAATTATAAAAATATCAAAATCGGAGTTTTATGTCTCTTAAAAACAAAATGTGGGTTTACATTGTCGTTGTTACAATGTATGGCACACTAACCATATTGTCATATTGCAATTATCGCACTATAATTGTCATATTGTCATTAGTCGTCACGAATTACTAACAGTTGACTCTTCACACTACCATATTACAGTGTCAACGTGTATTATTACATCCTACTAGCATTATACTTATGCTTTGGTCTTAAAAGACTTACCCTTTGTTTGGATGGATGGAATTGGGAAGGAAAGAAAATAAAGGAGGAGAAAACACACTTCCCAAGAAAAAATCACTTGTTTGTTTAGGAGAGAAAAGGGGAAGGGGAGAGAAAAAAGGTGAGAAACATTTTCTCCCCTCATGTGGCGAGAAAACTTGAGGGAGGGAGAGAAAAGTATTAAAATGACAATTTTATCCTTACTTTTTCTTTGTTTCATTAGCATAAATAAAGATAAAAATGTCTTTTTGTTTTATCACCTTTTCTTTCTTTTTATATTTTCACTCCATTTTCCACTCATCCAAACAACAATAATTTTCTTTCTATTTTCTCTTCATTTTCTTTCCTCTCTATTTTCTTTCCATCCAATTTCTTTCCACTCATTTTCTCTTTTTATCCAAACAATGGCTTAAACTCATATTTTAATATTTTTATATTTTTCACTCCCATCTAGGGATATTTGCACACGTTGAAGATCCGTAACTCCGATTGATATGAAATTTGCACACGTTGAAGCCCTACGTGTTGGAAACACTCTCTGAACATTTCAGCAAAATCCATCGGTCGGATCTCCGGCGATGATCAAATCTGTGCGGGCTGTCCAGAAACTTTGCACTGTGAAACTCTGCACCTTGTTTTTCTTTTGATTGGATTTGCTTAAGGTTTTACGTAGTTTTGCACGTCCAAACCCTAAGGGAGGGTGAAGATATTATATAGAATAAAATAGCCTTGTTAGAGTGTGCTTAGAAGTCTCAACCATGTCTTCCTCCTTAAGAATACCAAACCAAGTAGAATTAGAATTCTCTCTTCAAACTCTTTCCTCCTTCTCTTCCTTCATATGCTAGGACTCTAAGTCTAAATAAAACATCTAAAATAATTCTAGGTAAATCTATTCGTTTGTCAAAAAATAATTCCAACACAATATTGAACTAACAGTATCTGTTGTTTGTGAAATCGGTTCCACCTAACCTATTGTCACAATAATGGTTAGTTTGGGAGTTGGGCTTTGGAGGGTTAAGTGTGCTTCTTGATATATATATATTTATGAGGTAGTTTTACATTTTATTTGGATGCCCTTCTAACTGGAGAGGTAAACAATTGAAATCACTGCCCTGAATGTTAGCACATAAGGACGTATGATGTTAATGAGTACAAATGGTATGCCCCCCACGTCCAAATAAGAGATTAATGCAAAAAGCCAATCGGAGATTAATGCATAAAAATATTGTTCCATGCCTCAAGTTCTTTCTTTCTTTTCACTTCTTTTTTTGTTTCTGCAGTAGGTTGCTCCTTTATTCAAAAGGAAACGATGGAGGTCATTTGTCTCTGTACCTTGGTGTGGCTGCCCCGTCTACTTTACCGATTCATTGGCGCATACCTACAAAGTTCAGTCTTGCTCTTGTTAACCAGATAGATCCCAAGAAAACCATCAAGAAAGGTATTTTGTTCATGTACAATGAGAGATATGTCGACCTTTATATTCTGTTGTTATCTCCCTCTCTTTGGTTGTTGTTTTGATCATTTTGCTTCCCTGCATCATTTATTTAGAGACAAAACACACTTTCAATTTATTTAGAGAGTGATTGGGGCTTCAATTTGTTCATCCCACTTCGTGAGTTTCATGATAAAGTCGGAGGCTTTCTTGTTAATGATATGTTCTTGATTGAAGCTGAGGTCTATGTGCCTGATCCTTCTCCATGTGTGGCTAATACTTCCCATGCTCCCCCAGATCAGGTAACCTAAGTTAAATCCTGCATCCATATATTTTCTCTTTTTCCCCTGATTTCTAAAAAAGATTTTTCTTTTTCCGAACAGGTTATGGATTCTTCTGTTGGTCTCGATCCAGTAGAATTTGTGTATGCCAGGGTTCAGTCCGTTCTCAAATCACTACCCAAGAAACCATCATCCAGCTTAGTAGTATCTGATGCTATATGCTCACTTGAACTTCCTTCGAGTAAAGACCGTGCAGCATCTGCAAAAGAAATCTTTGACAAATTGATATTATACCCTTTAGACGATTTGGCTGATCCCAAGCATGAGAATGCAATGTCAAAGGCCCTCTCCATACTGAACAACAATCTTTCATTGTTCAGCAATGGAGAGGCCAAAGAAATCGCGGCTCTGAAAGCCACATTTCCTCATATGATGCTGGAATGGAGAGAGTCTGCAAAAGTGAAGGGTGGGAGTGATCATCTCTGGACTGCTTTTGAGAAGACGAAAAGTTTGCTGGAGGATCTTCTGAAGACTGAGGATGGGATAAGAGCTAAATTGGATGACCTGAGTAAGAAAGAAATGGACTTGAAAGCTCAAATGGAGGCTATTGAATGCGACCGGCGACACCTGAGGGAGGAAAGAGGGGAAGTGTCAAAACTGACTAGGAAAGTGTGTTCTCTCGCCGAGGAGCAGGGTAGGAAAATTGAAGGAAAAGAGGCCGAGGTGGAGACCGCGAAGAAAAAAGTGGAGGATTTGAAGTCACAGTGGGATGCAACGAAACGTCGTCTGTCTTTGAGAAAGAATGTGGGATCTACCCAATAGTAGTAGTAGTAGCAGTAGCTAGGTAACCTGATGTGTGGTTTTGGACCATGTTTTGTTGTTAGAACTTAGAAGGGTATTTTTAAAGGTCATTGTGTGTCTTTTGTTGTGGGTCTCCCCCAAAAACAGATTGGAGAAAGCCATGTTTGTCTGCACCTGAATGTGGAGTATAAATGCATTACAATAATTTTTCCTTAGTATTTTATAGATAAGTAAACAAAAATAAACAAATTTTAAGGGCCTTTAAAGCAATTCTTATTCCCCTAACATTCCTACTCCTATCTTAGTACCTTCTTCCTCCATTTCGTTACAATAAACTATTAAAGTTGATCGTGTAAATTAGCTAATCGGGTAACGAAGTTTTAGTCTGGGCGATAAGCTGAGTCGAGAATGAGAAGCTAATCAACACATTGAACACAAAATAACCAGGAAGACGATAAATGGAAAACTTGTGGCCTTATTATTATTATAGTAAGAGGATTACAAGCTAGAGCTTAGAAAACACTCAAAAATATTGAGTTTGGATCCCCTTCAATGAGGGTCTATGTGTCAATCTATATGTGAAGCTTTAAGACGTGACTATATATGCCCATCCCTAACCACGTGCTAGGCCCATATAATATTTCTAAATTGATTATTCTCATCTTATACCATTTGTACTTTTATTCTTTGCAATGCATGTACCATCCGGGCTTGTCCATTCTTAGCGTGTAGTGTCTGGGGGTATTTCATCAAATCCAATCGTTGGCACATTGAATAAAGTCCGACTAGTTCACCTATGTCTATTTAGGTCTGGCTTGTCATCGGCTGCAAATTATGTGGTACAGTCGAATGTACTGTACATTATGGCGAACTCGTAGTTAAAAAAAACTCAGAATGACCACTATGTTGTTTGAGAATGAACACTATGTTATTTCAAAATGAACACTACATTGGTTCAAAATGAACATTTTGCTAGATGTATCTAATATAGGTACATCCGATCTATGATATAGGTTCTCGCCCTCAGCTAGCACATCAGTAATTCTCTCGAGTCTTAGATCTCCAAGTGGGTGATCCTTCGAAGGTAAGCATTGAGTTATCGAGGATCCTTCATACCATACTATGCTTCTTACCTTATACACTATGCACTTGGGTAAGTTGTAGATTATCTCAAGCAGAAAATCTTGATATATTGCCTTCGTCGTAGCTACGTTGGTTCGACACCCACATGGGTGATTTTAGTGTATGCAGACTCTTGTTATGGTTTGGGTGCAATAGACACATTAGATGTACTTTCTTCATCTTGTTCAACTACTTTTGAAGCAAAAGAGATGAATTTTAATCATTGAATGTATGAAGTATAAAATTTGCATCACATATAAATACAATGAAATAAATTTTATGGTTTTTTGTAAGCAAGGTCTAATAAAATTATTTTTGTACTAAATAATGATTAAAAAAATCCCAATTTAACTTGAAAAAATCAAACTAAAAGACTATTTAAAGAGAAATCCACTATATGTGTAAAAGCTGAATGGAAATCCATGCTCAATTTCAGCTCCAATTTTCCCGCCAATTTTAAACAATCCAATGGCTATTACAAGTTTGGTACACTTGGCACAAATCCATACAATCTGACCTATGTTTCTATTACAATCACAAAAGGCCGAACAAAAGCATCACAATCCAGCAACTTTACAATTATAGGTGGACAAAATTGTTAAAGTAATGCCTCTTCCACCAGTAAAATTACAGGTACATTCCTTGAATCTTTCACTTCATCCCCACAAAATGGCCCAGACATATGCAGTGTTAAAGAGGCCCTCATATGGACACCAAAAAAACCACCAATTCTATTTCAATTTATACAAATACGAGAAATTATAAACAACAACCTAGTTGAATCCCACTATAGTAGGGTTTAGGGAGGGTGTGTGTACGCAGACCTTGCCCCTACTCGAAAGTAGGGAGGCTGTTTCCAAGAGACCCCCGACTCAACCTGCACAAAAAATATGGTAGGGAACACAATATAACAGGATATAACAGGATAAAGCACCAAGTACAATAATGAAATGAAAGTCCAGCAAGCAAAAATAAAAAATTCCAATCAAACACAACACACTACAAAAAAAACCTCTGCAGCACCGAGCTCCTAACCAGCTACTTTAATCCTAGTCCTCCAAAGGTTCCTATCTAAGGTCATATCCTCAGTCAGGGTGAGAAGTCCTAAATCCTGCCTAATCAACTCCTTCCAATTCTTCCTAGGTCTACCCCTTCCCCTACTTCCCCCGATAATCGTTATCCTCTTGCACCTCCGCACAAGGGCATCAGCATCTCGCCGTCTCACATGCCCAAACCATCTCAACCTCGCTTCCCGCAACTTATCTTCCACCGGCGCCATGCCTACCTGACGTCGGATAACTTCGTTCGAAATCCTATCCAACCTTGTCTTCCCACACATCCATCGTAACATCCGCATCTCCGCCGCATGCAGACAACGCACATGAGTCTTCTTAACTGCCCAACACTCTGCCCCGTATAACATAACAGGTCTGACTACAGATCGGTAGAACTTACCTTTCATCCTGGGCAAAATCTACGAGTCACACAACACCCCTGAGGCCAACCACCATTTGGCCCAAGCCACTCCTACACGATGTCCAACATCCCCGTCTAACTCCTCATCCGCCTGGATTACCGAGCCAAGATATCAGAACCTGTCTACCTTAGGTACTACGTGAGAGTCAATCCTAACTTCCACTTCTGATTATGTTTCCCGACCGTTGAAACGACATTCCATGTATTCAGTCTTGTTCCTACTTATTCTGAATCCTTTAGTCTCAAGGGCGAGGCACCATCGCTCCAACTTATCGTTTAGTCCCTCACGTGTGTCGTCGATAAGCACAATATCATCCGCGAAAAGCATGCACCATGGGACTCCTTCTTGAACACCTTGAGTTAGGACGTCTATCACCAAGACGAACAAAAAAGGGCTAAGGGCAGACCCCTGGTGCAACCCCATCCCTACCGAGAATGACTCAGAGTCGCCCCCGGAGGTCCTTACCCTAGTCATAGCCCCATCGTACATATCCTTGATCGCGCGAGTGTACGCGATGAGAACTCTTCTCGTCTCAAGGCACCTCCATAAGACCTCCCTTATGAGGCTCATAATTTCTATACAAAAAGTAGAAATTTTTGTGAGGCTCATAAATGTTTTTCCATTGGGAAATAAGAAGATAAGACCACCATGGCTGCAACCGCGGTGTCAATTTCCGGGTAACTACGCCAAGATACGAATCATATCATCAAATTGTATTCTAAATAAGAAGATAAGACCGCCATTAAAAAATACACAAAACTATCATCACAGCCTCTTTAAAATTTCTACGGAATTGTATTCCAATTTTACAAGAGGAACCATGGAACATGGTCCCTACAATTCATGACAAGTACCCATTGCAAGTGGTAGAGACCAAAAAAGTCAGTTTCTGCCCTCCAAATCTGCATATATTATAGCATTCAACTCATAGGGCTTAAAAAATCTCTTCATAATTAATGTGCAAACTTAAAAACTTTTAATTTTAAAACCGTGAACTAAAAAATATTTAAACATCAAGGTTGAATTGAGAGGAAATTGGGTGACCTTAGCAATTGTTATCATTCAATGTTTCAATTTATCAAGGGAAACATGACAAAACAAGATTTTGGAGTTAGTCATTTGTATGTCTTATAGGTTAATAACCCCTTATCATAAACTTCCAAGTTTTTTAAAATAATTACCAATGGTGGACACCCTTTCTGCCCATTTCTTCCTGGACAACACCTTACCCCTTCATATTCATTTAGGGTTATATATTAATAAAATGGCCTATATCAAAATATTACAGTATATAAGAGTGTTCTATTTCAGTCTGTTCTATATTTCTTGCTTATACCCATATACTCATATACTCTACGCTTACATATCAAATGAAGAAGAACTCATTCTCAAATGACAAAGTCCGTGGAAAAGAAAGAGGCTTCATACCAACACAGGTGAACATACATTTTACTTGACAGTATACGGAGTATTACTTTTATGTCTTTTATTTTGTAAACACAGTTCAAATTGTATATATACTGAAAAGGCTAAGATGAAATACATGAAATATGCAATACCTGCTTTTAAAAAATTTAAAATCAATTATGATATTAAAGAACACCACTATTATTTAGAGAGAATTAAATTTCATGCCACTTAGATGTAAAAAAAGACACATTTATGATATTGTGATTAAATGAGAGAAGCTAAGAAATAAGAAGCAAATATTAGAAGAAACAATATAAAATCTAAACTAAGAAGAATCATTTCATCGAATTTTAGCAACCATGGGTGCAACCACGGTATTAATTTCCGGGTAGCCATGTCAAGATACGAATCATTTCATCAAATTTTAGCAACCCAATATGAGAAAATACATTAACCTATCATCACAACCTCTTTAAACCTTTAAACATATTAGTAGAATGGGAATATAGTTTCATTCACTTTTGTATATTCGAATAAGCGGTTAAAAATAATCCTAGAGTTCAGGAAACAACTAATTTTGGTAGACTTTGAAAATTATACTGATTCAATGTTTTTACTTCCTAAGGTAAACATCACAAAAAAAATTGGGAGTTAGGCCCCGTTCCGTTCAACTTATTTTTTCTTATTTTTTCTTATTCTTATTAAAATCAGATCAGATCAGATCAGACCAGATCAGATTGAATCAGATCAAATCAAATCAAATCGAATCAGATCAGATCAGATCCAATCAGATCAGATCCAAACAGATCAGATCAAATCCAATCAGATCAGATCAAGACTTATTAAAATAAGATCTCATCAAGAATTATTATTATTATTATATTATTATTATTATTATTATATTATTATTATTATTATGATTATTATTATTATTATTATGATCATCATCATCATCATCGTCATCATCATTATTATTATTATTATTGTTGTTGTTCTTAAAAATGAAAAAGAATAAACTTTAGAAATAGGTTAAATAAAAAGCTGAGAAAGTAATCCTTAATTATTAGACGTCGGAAAAATTAGTTTTAAAATACATTGACAATGTCAATCTAATTCTACTTTTAAAATATATTTTTATTGCTACTTGTAATTTGAGTTTCTAAACTTTTGATCTTTTATAAGGATAAGTTATTTTAATAAAAATACTATCTCTTCTATATATTGATTATCTAAATTTAATTACTTTTAAATGTATATCTAAATTA